CCAAAGAGGTCTAGAGTACCTCGTCCATCCAGCATCGACCACGGACAAAAGTCCGCAGTCAACGAAGGCCTCCGTGGTTCTGTGAATGTGAACAGATCAGTCAGATTGAAGACGGAATCCGTGGACCAGGAGGAGGGGTAAGAATTGTGGTAATAGTCGTACCAGGGACAAAGAGAAGAGGTTTGTCTAGATTCGCGGTGGACTTGCATGGTGGGCAATACGTCACCAGCGAACAGCGTGCTGTAGAGATCACCGAGTTCACCTCGATAGTCAGGGCTACCAAGGAGCTCGCTGTAGTAGAATACCGAAGGAGGTGAAGGTTCGTCGTTCACACTTGGGTGGCCAATTAGAATGCGCTGCGTGTTAAAGTAGATGCAATAGTAATCCTGCGCGTAGTATGGCCACGATGACTGGCAACTCAAAGAATCGAGAGAGAATCGAATTTTGGCAAAAGAAGGAACAGTGTCAGAGGAAACATCGGAGAAACGGCGATGGGTCTTCTCATCTGCCTCAACCTGCAGTCAAGTAATATTTTGAAGAAAAGCACAGGTGAAAAATACAAAAAACAACTCTAACGCTATTAGAGTTTCGAAGCGGATTTGACAAACCCAACCTATGCTGAACTCGAATTACGCTAGCGCCAATCAATGGACAACAAACACTCTGTCAGTAAGAAGCAAATAATTTCCCACTTTAACGCTAGTAATTAACGTCAGACTACTGTGGAACAACAACTATTGACTTGCATCATGTGCGTAGGTGGCAACGCTAGGAAGAGACTCAATGCGGTTGTTCGGCTCCTGTTGGGCCTCCACATGCACTGCGCCTCCGGCGTCGGTTGAATCGTCTTCAAGCTCTTCGTCATCAACAGGCAAGCATCCATTGGCCTCTGCCCACTCACACCAGGCTTGGTTAGGCGGAAACCGTCGCCCATTTACACGCAGACCAGCCAGTAGCCGCAATGTCATTTTCGTGTAAAGTTCCTCATTCGTTGCAAATTCGTCATTTGGAGAATCGAAATTTGGATGCTCAATTAAGTAGATGAGGGCCTTGACCACATCCAACAGGCTGTAACAACTAAAATTTAAATGCCTCAAAGAATATTTTACAACTAACATCAACTCTCAATTTGCGCAAAATTATTCGAATTTGCAACAAGGGAAAATAGAGAAGTTGAAGGGTCATAAGGAAACTTGTAACCACAAATAAACAGATCAAAGACCTTAAGTAGTGATTCAATTTTGTGTAATGCAGCACCTAAGTCTACTATGCATTTGTCAACAACATCCCACGTATTTATTGTACGCATGACTTCAAAATATGAGCGCTCGCTAATTCAAATACAAAAATGACGAAAGGGATGGCCCGCCAGACTCAATTTTTTATGCTCGCTTGAATTAATTCTTACCTATGCCATTCAGTGAGAAGGCTTAAGCAAACGCCACCGTCACCAATATAGATATTGGGATGAAAGATTGGAGTAATGAAGCGGACTTCAGGACGGAATCTTGGATAAGGTAAAGGGCAATCAATCTGTAAGGAATCCAAAAACCAAGGCGTTTGCGTTATATTTGTTGTTTATGCAATATTCAAATGTTTTACGGGTTTCAACAATTTCTGACGTTGTTTTCATAAAACATGCATTCTTTGGCGACTTGTGTAAAAACTGTTCAGATTATTACTAGCATCGTGCAGCCACTAATACCAAATCTCTCTGAATCGAATATGCGCAGAAGAGTATATCCACGAAAATCTGTTGACAATATTTCGCAAGCGGACTGCAGTTATGACACAAAACTAGTAAAAAGGAACAATTTACACCTTATTAACGGCAGCTAAAACAATTCAAAAACCGTTACTATTACTCCTGTTGCCATAATAAATAAACGTGCTATTACTGTCGCAGTAATGTTACTGACTCTCTAAATTCCATGAACTCGTAATTTACGAGGCAGTAAGCATGGCAGTAGAACACATGCTGCTTACAAATATGATCAAAGAACACAGTTGTAATTTTTACTCCATATATTTTATGATGATACACTTCAAAAACACTTACATTGACAACAAAGGCAGCGTGTGCATTGCGACCAAATTTGGGATTCAACGACACAATCACTGACAG